TGACTTAATGTTCTGTTTTCGTATTCTTCGTCGTGAATCGACGCTATGTTCAATATGTACCGGATCTTCAAACCACTAGCTGTAGACGGGGTGGGTTTAATCTCTAATTATACTTACTCTGATGCGAGGCACCGCTCCCTCATCTTCAATAATGTCTTTTATCGCTGCGCTAGATGGTTTAGCCTGTTACCTCGTGAGGTTCTTGCGTCAGTTAATAGTGCTACCTTCAAAAGAAGATTGAAGAAGGTAAATGTTGATCAGATTCTTGGTATCTCCTCATTGTCAGTCTTCCAACCATAACGTTTTTCACTTCTGTCCTTTCGACTGGTTGGTTGCTTATCTCGCGAGCTTTCGTGATCTACCTTGGAGTTCTCTGTGCCGAGAAGCTTATTTATTCAACCGCAAACAATCAATCGAGTAGATTATTTGGCTCAATTGCATTTTAGTACTTGCTGATGAGCTCCCACCAGCTTTTAAACGTGATTCTGCTTTCCTCTGGCCAGCCTTGCCAAGTGCAGTGTATGTCCCAAGCTAATGCACACATCGAGATTTTTCTGTCTTCCTACTTTACAACTGCTACTACTGCACATAAATAGTTGCCATTTCTGCATGGAATCTGGGTACAGGTCAACAAGTGGCCTGCTCTTTACGACTGGTCACTTGGGTCTGAGGTCTTACGCCTGGGGTTCGTATTTAGATCAAAGAGGTAACTACTTTGGCCCGCCCCAGAATAACTGGTTGCCCAGGCTGACCTGTACTCTACTGCTTTACAGGACTGTATCCATGTAAATGGCGCTCGGCAACCATAGTATAATTCCTATTTACAAGTTGTGGTTATTCGGTGAATGGCTGATTAGTGATTCTCGTCATCCCCGAACCACTCTGCTTGCGGCCAGCATTGGCATTCCTGGCACTTGAGGCCGGCAACTTTCCATGGCTCTCCTCAAAAGGTTTAGCACTGAATACAGTTGCTGAGAGTATCTGCAGTGCAATATCCTTTCAGATCTCTTCTGTTGACTCTATGAGTTTTTTTTTCAATGTTTTTTCTCCTTTTCTTTGTCGTTGTATGGTTTTATATTACCTATAATATAACCTCGCACCAGTGTTAATGGTGAACCTATGTGCAATAAATAAATAAATAAATTTTTGATTCAATGGTTTTTTTCTCGTGTGTGTCTGCTTTCCACTAACTTGCGTGGACAGCTCAATTCGTGAGCTGCGGTCCACGCGAAGGCAGTGAATTTTTAAATGTTATAAAACACAAAGAGGCACCAAAATTTATTTCAAAAGAGTCCCAAAAGTTCGCAAAATATTTCAAAAAACTCCAAAATTCCAAAAAACACGAAAAGTTTCAAAAGAACTCCTTTGAAATCTTCTGCTATATTTCGGGTGTTTAACACCTTCTTCAGGCCTGAAATACATTGATTTAATCACTGGTAAAAACAATATGATGGTTTCCCGAACCCATATATGTACCTACATGTGTATGCCTCAGCCAAGGATTTAGCTGCCCTTACGGGAGCCGCGCCGTTGGAGTGGAATTAAGTGACCTACCGCTCACCCTCTGCTTAAATAGTAGCGGACGGACTGTGACGGTCATTGCATGTGATATTGAAAAACCACGTGACATTGGGCACGTAGTTAATTTAATAGTTGTAGAGCGTCACGTAGTTCGTCCTTACTATTTATTTCGGGTGATAGTTTTCTTATTTCTAATGCCTCCAATAGCCTCCTTTCCACCGGGTTCCCTATGGAGCGGTGTAGCACCTTAATGGTCAACGAAGGCGGTTCTCATATGTGTGCTTTGTGGTGCGGTGCTTGGAGAAGCTGCTGTTTGGATACGAGGCTGGGTTTTGTAACGCCCTTCTGTGTTCATCCAAACGCTTGTAAAGAGGCCTTTTTGTTTCCCCAACGTAATTTTTGTCCGCATCCTTCATATATGGCTATTGGAGGCATTAGAAATAAGAAAACTATCACCCGAAATAAATAGTAAGGACGAACTACGTGACGCTCTACAACTATTAAATTAACTACGTGCCCAATGGCATATGGTTTTTCAATATCACATGCAATGACCGTCACAGTCCGTCCGCTACTATTTAAGCAGAGGGTGAGCGGTAGGTCACTTAATTCCACTCCAACGGCGCGGCTCCCGTAAGGGCAGCTAAATCCTTGGCTGAGGCATACACATGTAGGTACATATATGGGTTCGGGAAACAATCATATTGTTTTTACCAGTGATTAAATCAATGTATTTCAGGCCTGAAGAAGGTGTTAAACACCGAAATATAGCAGAAGATTTCAAAGGAGTTCTTTTTGAAACTTTTCGTTTTTTTTTTGGAATTTTGGAGTTTTTCGAATAATTTGTGAACTTTTGGGACTCTTTTGGAATAAATTTTGGTGCCTCTTTGTGTTTTATAACATTTAGGTCCTGATGAGGCTGCCGGGACAGCACAACACTGAGAGTGAATTTTCACTCGATGGTGCGCAAACGATTCATTTCCCTTGTTCTTGCACCGTAAGGCTATCCGAGGCTGAAAAAGGAAGACGAATCCGAAGAAAATTGATTAAAATTGAGAATGAAAGAAGATTTCAGTCTTGCAATTATACACGTCTTCGAACTTCTGAAAAAGTCAAAATTGCACTGCGAAGAAAAAAATGGCAATTGTAATAAAATAAATGTGAAGTAAAATAAAATATTTACAGCAGTTCATACTTGGGAGTACTCTTAACAACAACAGAGGGGTCGCAACTGGATTGGTGGGGGATTGGTCGCACAAACCCCAGAATGTGGCAAACGTGACGCTTGACCCCGCATGGGAACCCCTTTGAACGAGAAATTTCTAAAGCGGCAAGAGAACAAGGCTGCACGGTGAAAGGTGGACGATGCCAGGAATGAAAGGTGAGGCTGTCAGGTGACACGTAAGTACAAGAACATGAGAGATATATGAATTCATTCTGTATGAAGTCCGGCTTTTGTCTTCTCTTGAAGAAAGGGTTGCCGGCCTCGAGAACGAACAACAAGGACTGCTGCTCTTGCGGATCGTGTGTGTCCTTCACCACGGTCCGCGAAAACGTGTGTTGCCGTGAGGCACTAGAAGGTGGAAGTAGAAGGCACCAAGCATTGGAAGGACTCCAGAAGAAGGTGAAGTGAGGTCGAAGATGCGTAGTGGACCAACCTCTCGTTTTTATAAAAGTAGGTGGACTGAGAAGTAGTGAGTGTACCCTGTGTACAACTGAAACAAAGATCAGTATTCAGATGCTGGACATTGTAAGGGGGCACCTGAAGTTTGCTTTGAGAAAGGAAGTTCAGCCACTCCACGACGAAAACAAGTAAGTGTTTCTCCTCACGACTGATGTGCTAGACCCTTTTATGCGCTTCCAGGAGGCTGCGGTACTGTGCGTGCGGGTCGTTTGTAATCTGGTGTTATGGCTACGTCGGGATAGGCAAGAGGTACGAAATCCCGACCTGCGCAAGGGGGCCATTATGAAGGCATCCCCTCCACCACTGGAGACTACGTAGGGTTCAGGGTGAGGCAATATTATATGCATAACCATGCTAATTCCTTACAAAGAATTTGCAGGGGCAGATGGACGGGACGGCAGTCTGGAGTGTGACTATGAGGAATGGAGCAATAGCACTCTACAGTAGTTTTGAATTATCTAAATGTAATAAAGCGATCTCTGCTAACACTTCTTACCACATCACAGCTTGCATTCATAGATTCTTGAGTGGCCCTAACTGTGTAATGAATTCACTCAGTTTCAAGCGGTATTTTCCACTTGCCAGCCCGGCCGACAACGCTGATTCAGAGGGGGGCTTAGAGAATTAGAGGCGGTTATGCTTGTAAAGGCAGAGCGCAACAGGCTAAGGAATATAATATTGGGCAACATCATTTCATTTCATCATCGACACAATTGATTTTCTAGTACTAGAACATAGAAAATTATGTGAACTTACTCTGATCTAAGCTACCTTCCAATCACAGATGAAATAAATTATCTCAGAATACCACGCGATGGACCAGGTGTGCTGAAAGCACACGCCACATTTGTTCCGAAAGGTCGGAGAGCTTCATAAAGCAAGTCAGAGACGCCATCAGCGAGTAATTTCCACTCTATGCCTTTTCTCAGTACAATCAACTTTCTACTCCGCAGAAGATGGACCAGCGCTTGTTAACTTACATGTTAAACATTCTCTAACGCTGCATGGCCCGAGTGACAGGAGCGATGACAAACCCCAGTCAAACGAAGATCCTGAAACTTCGAGGGCTACTACTTTTGTAGTGGAACAAGTAAATTTCTATCGTTTATGAATTGCTTAACTATTACCAGTTTAGCTCCGCACGCAACCGCGCGCATCACATGGTAGGCTTTAGTGAAACTGGACAACTTGCTGAATATTAGGTCACGTGGCTGAGAAACTAACAGTAAGATGTTTGGAAGATGTGTCACATGAATTTCAAAGGCTCCAATTTTGCTGAAGATTGTCGCGTAATGCGCGCAGTAGCATGCGGAATGAAAATGGTACTTATCATGACTTCGTAAACATTTAGCATTGATATCGAGCTCGGATGATTTAGCGGTTTATAGAATTTCCACAATTGAAGAATCGGTGTGTAAGTGAAATATAACCAATCAATCAGCATCTAACCGAGCTGTGATGGAAATTGGAAATATAATGGAAATTCGCTATTGGTCCAAGATAGTTGAGCAGCTCAACTTTCTTTGCTTCTTCAGATGAAAGGGTAGGAATGGAACATATTCACCATAATGGACTGGTTTAGCTCAATTGAGTGCACCGTCAACTGTCGCTACTTTTATTAGTACAGTTGCCGCTCATACCTCATACCACTTTCTGTCACCTACATTCAACCCTCGCCACCTTGATCGCTTGCCAGTGATAATTGCAACGAAGTTGGAGAGACCTGCATTCAAACGCTCTTATCATTCTTGTCATTTGTTATCAGTTCATACTGTTCGCAATCGGTGTCCCGGTCCCAACCTCCAGGCAACGTGTAGGAGCTAATATTTACTGTCACCACGAAGGCTGCAACGAAATTAGCAATACTCAAAATCCTAACTTCCTTATTAACCGTTATCGCTTGTTATCACTTCTGATCATCACCTATTTCATTTTATTCCCGATCACCTATTTCACATGTGAGAGCCAAGGTTCCAATGTAACCGCTGGGGCCGCAACGAAACTGGTGGTATCCACACTTTGACGCTCCTTATCAGTTCTTATCAGTTGCTACCACATTCGTTCACTCAACTTCTTGGTCCCCGCCTCACCCACATATCATACATGAGTGCAAACTCTCCACCGTCAACGCGAACGGTGTAACGAAATTGGTGACATCAACATTTTTCTACGTCCGGATCAGAGTCAACCCTGCGTTGCGCAGTTCTCAACGGCCACGTTGCGCAGTTTCGCCCGATTAGACACGTTCTCTCGCGCGAACATTCACACTCGCATGCTCGAGCCGTCTGCGTCTCCGCCCATACAGCGTGCGTTGAGGATCTCTCAACGTGCCGTTGCGAACTGCGCAACGCAGGGTTGACTCTGCGTCCGTTATCAGTTCCTATCAGTAGTTATCACTTCTCGCCACAGTCATCAGTGTTTACCTCTGGCCGCCTATATATGCTAGAAGTTTAAGGTCAAAGGGGTGAAGTTATGAATTTCCGGTCAGACACACACACACACAACCGCTTAGCCGATTATATACAGGCGGTGGGGGGGCAGACAAAAAGCAGTCAACTTTGCCTATGGCGCATATCATCAAACTTTTCGTCGCAAAGGATGCCGCTGTTATTGGGAGTTATACGATAAATTTCCTTAGATGTCCCCCCATAAGCAGAATCAGGCCCACCTTCGCTGCTTCACCGTCTCCAGAATATGACGTCATCTGTCATCACCAAGAAGGCCTACCATAATCGCTCCATTCTGAAGCTGCTACATAATTTCTTCAATCGGATAACTGGTGAATGGCTTCTTAGGGACACTAGCTCTGACTATGCAACATGGCTTTTGACCAGCGTTTCAGAGACGTCGTAATCGTCTATGGTTTCTCGACGACCTCGTTGAGCTCGTACCGTGACCATGTTTCCGTGGGAAAATCTCCTGATGTCGTTGGTGTAGAAAGCCCTATGCAATTTTTTGATAGAATAGAATGTGCTCTTCAATACGCAATTGAGCTCATTCGGTTTGGTTTCTGGCAAAGTGTAATTAATTCTGCTATTGAAGGTGAATGAAAGTGACTCTTTTTTTGCCCTCTCCCCCTGTATATAGTAGGATAGTACATTAATCAGTGACTGGATTTGTCTCCATCGCTTCTTTGTGCTTTATTCTGTGTGCTGACAAACAATGATAGTCTAATCTAATGGTATTCTGCAGTTGAAGTGCCAAACGTTCATCTTCTTTTGCACTACTTATTCTGCTACAGTTCCTGCAATGTGTGACTGGTCGAAGCTGAAAAAAAACGCTTTCCATTACAATACACAAATTCAGTTTTTCTACAGCCCTCCTTCGCTCTGCACCACCATTAATGAATAAGGATATTGGTACGCCTTTCTCTGCCCGTCACTGCGATTACGACCTCTTCCTATGAACGAAGTCAACCTTGCCCCCACCCTCGTTGATACTTGTACCAACATGCATGTTGACCCTGCTATGACGTCAATTCATGAGCGGATCCCCAGGTGCTAAATGCAAAGCCTAAGCCTCGCCTGATTCTGTGCCACGGAGTACTTACCCTCGTATTCTTGCTGACCCTCTATCTTTCTCGCGTCATGCCTTCATTCCACAGACGTTATCCTGAGTTAGGCCTTTAGACCACTGCGAAATATTATTTTTTTGCTGCGTGATATGATCCCTATCAGTACGTGATTGGAGCCGGTAGCGTAGTAGTGTTCACTCGTGTAGTTGTCTTCTATGAACTGGTGAACTACTGCAGCGGGCATCTGCCTCGTTAGTGTTGCTGTACAAGAATGACTAGAAAGGCAGATGGCTTCAATCCACCAAGAGATACCGCCGTCTTCACTGTTACGCTGCTCTTGTTCATTACAGTATCAACAATAGGTGAGTGATGACTAACACAAGAACATGGCAGTGATCAAGAGAAGCGGATCATTTTCAGTTGCTGCGAAGTATCCAGTGAGTGAATCTTTTCCGGTCAACAAGGAAACCGGAGGTAGGCGCCCTTTAAAACCATGATTTCTGCAAAATAGAGCTTCTATTACAGAATGCCTATTTCATGGAGTAAATCACAATTTTTGGGCTGGATTATATCGGAACAACTGCAACTATGTTTACGGAAATATGACAGGGGACAACTACGAATATCCACTGTTCCATGTGAGATCCACCAGCATGTCTCTTGATTCTGCTGTTCCTCCTTCTTTGCAACAGGAATAGACTAGTGATGAGCTAAAACAAGTTACGATGCAAATCAGCGCCCACTGCCGTCGCGAAATGCGCGAACAAGTTGAAGGTTACCGCATTCTGACCCTCCTTATCTGCTACTATCACTCAAAGTTCACTCAAAGCAACAAACCCTGATCGAATCAGTGGGGTAAAATCGGTAGATAAGAAGTCGATTGAAAATGAAAAAGAAACGGCGAAACCGCCGATAAAGTCTCTAACAAGGATTCTCTTCTTTCCCCCTAAAATAAGGTGTGTACGGACGAGTTGTCCGAACTAGCATTTATCGCTGGCTCGTACCTGCAAGAAATGCATGCACTCCAAGAAGTACGATAAATAAATGACTCAAGCAAATGAAACCAGTCAAAAAAGGCAGCATCTCCAACGTCGTGTCACAGTTACACGGTAACACGCGCAAGGGCACTTATAGGACCACTATGGTTGGCATTCTCCTCTTAATTTGTAGTATCTTGGAAGGATCGTGGGGCAGATGTATGACTAGGTAGCATACTAGCTAAGAACTTCCAACCGACTTCCTGTCCTGAAGACGACGAATTGTTCGGAACTTCGACCGAATAAAGGAGTTCCACCGTAACAACCTGTACGGCAAAGCAACAACATCAAGCAATATTTCAACATGCCCAGGTTTCAAGAAGACCGAACATAGAGTTTTCCCAAAATTGATACATTGTTTGCTCAGAAGTCACTCACGTTTCACCTGTTCTTTTGAAGGAGGAATTGATGATGATGACATGGAAGGTCGAGAAGGGCGAAATGGCATAGTCAATGATGAGAGCAGGCGGACCTCATCGAGGTGCGGGACGACACGCAATTGGCCAGCGCGAATGTGCGATTTGACCCCCCCCACCACATTGGCCGGGTCTAGCATAGCTCACTCGGACACACATTAGTCGGTTGGCGAGTACGCCACGCTAGGGTCGTGTGGAGCAGGCGTCATCCTACGTTGTTACGGCTTTGGTTGAGTCTTATAGGAGGGAAGGTCGATCGCTTCGAGTTCGCGTGAAAGTGCATGTGATTTTTGTTTTTGAAAGTGGGCTTCCACGGAGAGATAGGGCCTAGGTGAGTTCGGGAGCCGCGATGAGAGGAATTTGCGTGTTTCGCGCCGCGTATATACCCCCCCCCGCTCGACGGCATTTTTGGAGGAAAAAGTGGGCGGAGTTTGGTGGGTTGAGTGGTACCAGAATTAAATACTATAGAGAGGAATATGGTGGTCGAGGTGTGGAAAAGGGGGTCGTACCAAGTCCACCTTGGGGGAGGGGGGTCGTAAAAATTTTTGAAAAAGTAACAACGATAGGACTGACCCTGCCTGGGGGGATGATTAGATAGCAGAGAGAGCGCAGTGTTGAAGAGGGCACAGCGATGAGAGTCGCATCAATGCGCAAGTCAACGGACAAGGAAGAGTTCTCATTTCTCGTAACTCGTGCCGATTCAAATGGTTTCTTCTTTGTCCCTGCTCCACCTCTACCCTCATTCCGATGAGCTAACTATTTCATCGTTAATTCTGCCTTTGAATTGCATCGAATTTTCAGCAAATCATAAACTTCACTGGCTGTATGATATTTACTGGACTTGACAAGCTTCAAAAATTGCCACTAACCTCTATACAGATGATGAAGGCGAACACCGACTTTTGCAGTACGTATGCTGATGTCTCAGTCTATTACAAAACGTTAATTAGATTTTTGTTTAGAATATAATTATGCTCTCTTGGTATACGGAAACGAAAACCTGAAACAGATACGTATGAAGAAAGATATGGATATAAAAGGAAAGGTTCGATTTCTCCTATTGTCGATTTATGGTTTTTGCAAGATTTGAGCATTGCTGCAGAAAGTAACGAACTCCGATGCATGCATTCTCAGACTAGGCATACCAATAGCACTTGAACTGAAGACATCAAAATCTTAAAATCCATCAGCACTATTCACTTAAAGTGTAAAACTTGCCGTTGATAAATCCCTTTTTTAGAATGCGGCAAGCATTTTATTCAAATTCATATAATGCATTCGCACTGGGGTTTGGACCGGCGGCTGGATGCGATTGGACAGGATCAGCAGCGAGGGGCTGTGCTTGTTAGGACAGCAAGCGACTTTTCGTGTTTCTCAGCGCAAAACATTTTTTGCTGTAGGAACTTCACGTCCACTGATCGTGAGTGAAGCTGGGGTTCCCGCAGCGAGAAATTTTCGCGTTGGAAAACGCGTTGGATTCTTTTCTGTCTTATCGAACCACACCAGAAACGAGAACAATCACACAGACCGCTCCCTGTCCAGCTGAAGATGCGGGAACAGCGACTGCGATGGTATGGGCACGTGCTAAGGAGGCCACAGGATCATCCAATAAGAACAGCAATGGACTTCGAAGTGCAAGGCAAGCGACCGCGAGGAGCCCAAAAAGAGGTGGAGGAACCTCATAGAGGAGGATCTCACTGAAGTCAGGGTCATGGTAGAAAATGGCTTGTACAGAGCCGAACAAGTACTGCTGATCCTGCGAGTGCGCGGGATTGGGAGAAGGAGGTTGGTAGTGGCATTTGAGTTCGATATGGTTATACAATGACTTGCGAGGTCCAGCCGATGTGCAACTCTGTGTTTTTTTTTATTCTCCCAGAGAAATCTGGTATCCAATTACCAACAATCATATCAGACAGGGGTGGGAGGTTTGGTTTTCCTGGGCGACACACGACCCAGAATTCGTTCCTTGCACCGCGCGCGTGGTAAGTAGCGCCACTTGCCATTACACCAATTCCGCCAGCAATCAAGCCTACTGAGAAACTTATCTGCTAAAGAGCGTTGCCTTCCACGAAGTTTGAGAAAGATTAGTTCTGTAGGACTTGTTTCAGGAAGTTTTCATAAAAGCAAATAGGCAGCTCCGTCGTGAGGAGGTCACCAATGCGCCCTTTGATGTAGACGTTGGGACAGCGTACGGTCAGTTCTTCAGCTGTTGATTTCAGTTCGGTACACTGGTTAGTAAGTGTCCTTTTTCTATATGCCGCTTCCACTGACTTCATGGTAAATGTGCAGGAATTTTTCCATTTACCAAAATACCACTTTGTCGTTCTTGTTTCCCACAGCTGAAAAGGCTTGCTCTAGATTGCACTATGGAAATGGCTCTGAAACGCAAGGATTGTACGACTTTGGTCGGCGATGTAATATATCCAGGAGACGCATCTATGAGAGAAGTGTGGAGTAGGATCACCAAGGTTTACGGGACCGTAACAGCGAACGAATTATGGGAGCCCGATTTGGGTTACCTCCAAAATGTCACTGTTTATGGGTGGCTACGTAAGCTCTCAACTTATTACATAAAGAAGAGCAGTAGTTGGAGAAAAAACCTTCATTATTTCAGCTCGTGTGGTGAGCATTATAAACAATCACAAGAGAGGTCTGAGACACATTTCCGAAGTTCTAAAGATGAAAGTTAGCGGGCCCGAACCACATTTTTGGTTTCATAACAATACAAGTTTTTGTCACACAGCCGACATAAGGAAACAAATCGAAGCTAAGACAAAAACAAAATTATCATGGGACAAAGATTGCTGTAAGTTGAACTTCGTTTGCACTACTCCTATTCTGAACATGAAATACACATCGTGTGACAGCGAAATTGGATGTTCAATTGAATCTTCACATCTTAAACATTACATATACAATGTATTGTAATATGTAATAAGGGGCGGAAGTGGTGTAGTGGCAAGTGGCACGCTTACCACGCGAGCGGTCCGGGGATCAAATCCTGGGTCGTGAGTCGCCCGGGCCAACCAAGCCTTCCATCCCTCGGGTCGGTTAATTGGTACCAGACTTGTCTGGGAGGATAAAAACACTGACTTGTACATCGGCTGGCCCCCGCAAGTCATTGTATATACCACGGCATCGCCCCGCAAGTCGAATGATGTAAGGCTAACCCCATTCAGAAACGCCACTAGAAGTACAAATGGAAAGTCGGAATGGGCTGTCGCACCAACAGCCGGGATTGCGATCAACGGCAATGCTTTGTCCTTAATTTATCTTATTTATCTGTTTATTCTTAGCTTCCAAGTTAGCACTTGATCGCATTAGCTTCCAGTGCGCCTATAATACATCGTTTTAGCGAAACTATGCGAAGCTACTTCAGATCAACAGTCTAAACAAACTAGGAAGCTTTTGAATAATGGCAAAGCTTCTTTCGTTACTAGCTGTAAATTGAACCAATACCAACTCTATGTTAGATGCCTTGGTGAAAAATTTTCTGTAGGTTTCTTGCACAAATATATGTATCCTAACGTTTTGACTTGAAATGAAATGGATGTCAAACACAATCTGGTGGAGAAATTCCTTTACCGTAGCGGGGGTTGCCTATTAACCCAAGCCTCGAACTCATTGTTGCACTTGTCCCCAAATCATGTAATGTATAGCACACCGACCAATAATAAGGGCCAGGAGTTGAAGCCTATCAATGGAAGGGAAGCGTACGTCGTAGTAATCTTGCAGTGCGGTAACATAGAAAATGCTGCATGTGAATCGTTTTGAATTGGCATGTGTGGCATTGTGACGCCAAGGGAGCCGCAGACAGGAGTTGAAATGCAAATTACGATTGCCACAGGCTATCCGAGAACTTAGGGCCACTTTGATCCGCCTCAACAAACCTCCTTGAACTAGTTTAGGTAGCAGTTTTGATTTTCCACATCTTCTACCATCATCCAGCTCTATCAGATCTCGGGTAGTATCAAGCCAAGTTTCGGCAATGGCGTGTTAAACGCTTACCGCTGGCTCAGTCGAGAGACACCTTAGGGCTCTTTAACACTGTATGATACTCAATACGTGTGAAAACTCATAGAGGTTTCGTCCATTAAGGCGATGGGGAGACGCTCCCATATCCCACACATACTGCACACATCCTCTCGGATTTTTTTTGTACTGGTCATTCACCATAGAGCTTCTCCACCCTTAGACCGTGGCCAAGATGTACAATCCGTGGCCTAGGACAATCTCCTTGAATCACTGAGGTTGAAATGTGAAAACACCTCAAAAATACATCTACACTGCACCGATATTTATCAGATGATTTTGACTTGTTTTGTTTGTTAACTGCTGTTTTAACGCCGCAGTTCGCGTTGCGAATGTTTCACAAGAATGCTGGGTTGTGAACAAAACTTTCGCCCCAGGCGGGACTAGAACCCGCACCTCTCGCTTTCCGGGCAAGTGCGCTACCAGTTACGCTACCGGGGCACCATTTCATTCCAACTCAGCTTTTCATGGTATACCATAGCTTGTCAGCACTCGAGTACGATATACTGAACTTCGTAGTATACCATTCTACTACACTCGCGAAGCATCGATACGTATCTGATCTTGTCAGCGCACTATCCTACTCTCCTACTATCCTAATCTACTACTATCCTAATCTCCCCGTCAATACACATCTTTTTCATTGTCGCGCACTATCCTACTCTCCGGAATCGCGAACTATGAACGCGGCCTAACTCTGATCATTTATTATTCGAGCGCCAGTGAGCTGCCTTCCTCCGATTCAGTTATCCTAAGATAATAACAAATGATTCATTAATTCCAATATATGAGGTCAGTAACATGGCCTATACCATTCTCCTGAGCACATCGCTCTCTTGTCGTACTAGCTTTCAAGTTTGCTGACCATACGCGAAAGAATGTCAATGTCGAGATTGAGTCACATGTTTCCGTCGCGAAAATCTCATTCTATTCTCCATATTTTCACCCAGAGCAATGCTTATTGCTGAATGCGTGTTGACGAGGACGCCCTCACCGTCAACATCTCTGCTGTCGCATTTTCTAATGAGCACATTTTCTTTTGTCTCTCGTAAGAACCGTGAAACGAGTGATTGCTCTTCTTGATCACTCGGACATCATCGTTCGTGATCTTTCTCTTACACATCATCAGATCTTCGACATGGGCCCTTAAGAAGCTCACCTTGCGCGTGGGAAATTATGTCGCAAATCTTACAATAATTCTCGCTTTTAGCCCGGGATTCATCCATGCCATCTCCTGAGCAGTCCCTACTCAATGCTGGTTCTCTTCTCATGTTCAATATAATGAAGCATTGATATTGCTCTCGTTTATATTGGGGCACAGTGAGCTTTTTCGTAGGGCTTGATGAACCCCCCGCAGCGGTTGGTCACGCTGCCCCAGATTGGGTAGTGGGCTTTTATTTCTCTACGACCTAGAGCGCCGACTTGTTTCTCTACCAGTCACACAGCCGTCAAGCGAGTCGCCTGTCGACCGATTAAAGGAGGAATTCACGATTAGAATGAAGGTCGAAGAAAGGGAAACTGACCTAGTTGAGGGACCCACGGACCTCCTGAGGGTGCGAACTGACGCGCAATTTGCATGGAAAAATTTGACCTCGGCGACCTATCATGCCTCAAAGCTCCACGCTGCGGCAAGGAAGGCGGTACCCATTTTGGTTGTTTAGGGGTTCTGCCGGCCGGCTTTCTCATAGTTCTTCCTTCGTATAATGTATGCTATACGAAGTCCGTACAGGTTGCCAATGTAGTCGTTTATTGAACCGCAGAGGAATAAACTGAACCTCACTCAGAGAGTGACCCTTTTATACACAATGATAAACATATTATTGAGTAGACCACTATCATTCCCCAACACCTCCCCCCTATGAGCATATCACATAAGTCTTCATTTTTGGATTCACTTGAAGACGCTCGGGTGGACGGCGGTTTCGGTGTCGGTTCCATCTGTCCGGTGTCCGTGGTAATGCTGTCGATTCAATACGATCCAAAGCATCGTTTTCAGAATCGGCTGTGGTCTCCGCTTCTTCTTTATGTTGAGCTTCTTTCGATCCATGCTCTCGATCTTCGCTCCACAAATGTTCATCAGTTGTTGGTATTTCCTCATCAGTGGCATTTTCTTTTGGTCTGGCCCGCATCTGATTCGCATGTCTTCTCCACAGTTGACCTTGTTCCGTCAGAACGTCGTACAGAACTCGTCCAACACGACTCTTCACGTGTGCCATAATCCATGGCTTGTGTCCAGGGCGGTAGTCTCGAATCCAAACTGGTTCTCCGATCTTGTACGATCTTTCTCGTGCTCCGTGATGACGGTTGAATTGCGTTTCCATTTTTGCATTTCTTGGTCCTTTTCCACCTTCGGTTGTTTCCTCCAGTAACGTCAGCGTAGTTCTTATTTGACGTCCAAGAAACAGTTCTGCTGGTGAAAGCTGTGCAGGAGTTGAGGTGCATGGCGTTCTTCGATAACACTTCAGAAATTCTGAGAGGGGTTCCGATCTCTCTCCCTCCCTCAGTTTCAGCAGGGATCTCTTGAGAGTATCGACGAAACGCTCCGCTTGTCCATTTGACTGTGGATGAAAGGGCGGTGAACGGATGTGTTCTATGCCTTCCTCGTCGCAAAATTCTTTGAACTCTCTTGATGTGAATTGTGTTCCATTGTCTGACACGATAACTCTTGGATTTCCAAATCGTGCGAACAACATCTTGAGCTCTTTCAAAGTTGCTTTCGTTGTAGACGACGACATCTCGGAAACTTCAGGCCACTTTGAGTACGAATCGACAACCACAAGATACATCTTTCCGTTGATGGGTCCGGCATAGTCGATGTGAACTCTATTCCAAGGTTTCTTCTCTTCAGGCCATGAGTTGAGAGCTGTTTTCCTTGGCATCTTCGCTGTTTCTTGACAGTAGTGGCAGTGGCGGACATTTTCTTCAATGTCTCGATTAATGTTCATCCAATAGACATATCCTCTGGCGAGCATTTTCATTCGTGTCATTCCCGGATGTCCTTTGTGTAGCTGCTTCAGTATTGCTCCACGTAGAGACTTCGGAATAACGATTCTGTGACCGAAATAAAGGCATCCATCTTGTGAAGACAGTGCGTGTCGTAGAGCTTTCCAATCACGCATGTTCTCTTCAGGCTTCGCTGGCCATGATCCTTGTCTGAGCAATTTGGTGATCTTCGATATCTCTGAGTCTTTCCTAGACTCTTCCTGGATCGAAGTTCTGGTCACCGGTAGCGCTTTAATGGAAGCTTCGTAGACGGCGAGGATATCTTGCTCTATTTTGGCTATGACAATATCTTCTGTTTGGTTTGGACGTGAGGGAATGAGTCTTGATAGTGCATCTGCTTGTCCAAATTCAGTCGTGCTTCGATACTCAAGATTGAAGTCGTATCCCATAAGTATAAGTTTCCATCGTTGGAGTCGATTTGCCGTATAGGTCGGTATTGCTTTCATGGATCCAAAAATGTGCAGCAGCGGCTTGTGATCTGTCAGCAATTTGAATCGACGTCCATATATGTAGCGATGGAACTTTCGAACAGCAAATATCAAGGCGAGTCCTTCTTTTTCGATTTGGCTATAGTTCCGTTCCGCGGCGGTGAGACTTCTACTGGCGTGGCAAATGGCTTTTTCTGTACCATTCGGCATCCTGTGAAGAATTACTGCTCCAATGCCATAGTCCGATGCATCAGCAGCGACTATTATTTCCAGGCTGGGATCGAAATGTGTCAGAAGTAGATCCGAAGCAAGTACTTCTTTGGCGCGTTGAAAAGCTTCTTCACACTTGCTTGTCCAGCAAAAAGTAGAACTCTTCTTTAGTAGGTCATCGAGCGGGGCGCGTATTTTGCGCATCTCGGCCACAAATGATCCATAGTAACTGATCATTCCAAGGAACGAACGAACTTCTGCGATGTTTCGCGGTACTGGCATATGGCGAATGACTTCAATTTTCTCTGGATCAGGACGTCGTCCGTCTTTGTCGATGATAAATCCAAGGTAGCGAATCCTCGGCATGAGAAAACTGCATTTCTCCAAGCGGACATGAAAGCCATATTCAGCTATTCTGTCAAGGAGTGCTTCCAAGTTCTGGCGATGCTCTGCATATGTGCGGCCTGTGACTATGATGTCATCCAAGTATGCAGCAACGCCTTGTAATCCGCAAATCATCGAATCCATGATTTGCTGAAAAATGCCAGGTGCTGATTTCACTCCGAAGGGTAGACGATTGTAACGGTAAAGTCCCTTGTGTGTGTTTATCGTCAACATCTCCTTCGATTCTTCCTCGACTTCCACCTGCAGATACGCGTCTGCCAAGTCGATTTGAGAGAAAATTTGTCCTCCATTTAGTCTTGTGAACACCTCTTCCGCAGTGGGCAGTGGGTGTTGATGCAACTGTAGAGCATCGTTTAATCCTGTCGAGAAGTCGGCACACAGACGGATCTGTCCATTCTTCTTCTTGACTGCAACGATGGGTGCGGCCCATTCCGAATGGTCAACTGGTGAGATCACTCCATCGGAAACTAGCCGATCAATTTCTGCATTTAATTCAGAGATAGAGGCATAAGGGACTGGTCGTTTCTTTTTGAAAACAGGTACTGCGTCTTCTTTCAAAAATAACTTCGCTTTCCTTTTCTTGCATCGACCCAGCTCGCATTTGAAAATTTCTGCGTACTGCTTCTTCAGGTCGCCAACTAAGGAACTTCTGATAGTATCCGCTTCGCTCACCATTCGGCAGTGGTACTTCTCTTGTAACTCCTTGTAAGCGGGGAGTTGGACACACCATTCCAGACCGAGTAGATTTGTGCTCTCTGTGACGTAGCAATAACCATTTCCTCGGAACTGTTTTCCAGTAGTGCGGTCCTTCACGGAGAAGCCTGTGGAAAATCTTCCATCGATTTTCATCGGTGATCCATCTGCCGTCTTGACTGGTATTGTGCAGGATTCCAGGAATGGGGATCCAAGCTTTTTCCATGTTCGGCGAGATATCAGGGTAATATCCGCCCCAGTGTCAAGCTGGAAGCGTAGCGAATGCCCTCGGACATCAACATTGATGTATGTCCTTGCATTCTCTGCGGCAAAAGTTGCAATGTTTTTGCACTGGTTCCTCCTACGACGATTATGCTGCCTTCTGGGTTTCTTCGGGATCTGGTTGGACATCTTTGGCATATTGGCGAGAAGTGGACAAACATTCCTGTAATGTGGGCCTCCACATTTGAAACATTTCACTTTCTTTTTCTGCACGGCATGAACATCGTGGCTTGTTCCCATATTTGCGTTATCCATCTTCAGGGCAGTGAAATTTTCGCATTCTGCAACGAGATCTTCAATCGTCAATGGCGCGTCTTCTGCTTGCGTATCGAGTCGACGAAGCATTCTGAGACGTACTTCTCGCAGAGAAGGATCCTGAAGTCCTGCCACAAACTGCAGTGTCTTCAGTGCTGTGTAATCCATTTCCTTCAGTGAAGCTTCTTCATCCATCCTTTTGATCGTGTTCGCATAATCTCGGAATGGTACGTAGTCCGAAGTAAGTGCTGGGCATGATATCCTCAAACACTCGTATCGGCGACGTATCAACGTTTTCTTGGATGCAAATAATTTTTGAAGTTTCCTCACTGTTGTTGCGAAATCGATCTCGTGCGGTTGTGAAGGTAGAACATCATCTGCATACTTACGGTAGGCGCTGTCTTCAAGTTTCAGCAAGATAAAATCTCTCTTTTTATCTTCTGGAATACTTGATGCTTCAATAATATGTCCATACCTTCTGTACCAGTAGTCAAATGTATATCCAGACTCCTCATCATATACGAACTTTTCTACGTCCTTGTTCAATTGGTCATATAGCAGCTTCTGGTTATCCACCATGCCATCCTTGGTAGGCGCTAACGAGGCGAACAGCATTTTCATCTCTTCATGCTGAAATTGCAACTGTTGAAGCATAGTTTGAAGTACTACCTCGAGCTGTGCAGGATGAGCAGAAGCTGTTCCATCTCCAGATGACTTCGGCATATTGCATACGAGTTGCTCTGAAGTCTTGAGCGGCTGTTGTCTTGAGTCCTGTAGATCCTTGGTGCTGGTCCTGATCGCCACTTGTTGTATCCGTACAGGCAGCCAATGTAGTCGTTTATTGAACCGCAGAGGAATAAACTGAACCTCACTCAGAGAGTGACCCTTTTATACACAATGATAAACATATTATTGAGTAGACCACTATCATTCCCCAACAGTTGTATTATCTTATCGAGGCTGCTTTTTCAACTTTTCTTGCATGTGATCAGGGACGGTACGGTGAGGATAGGTGGCTCAGAATTATTAATTTATGTCCATTCATGATCTTATG